GAACACTGAACACAATCCAGACTTTCCGCAGGTAAACAATATCACGTCTCACTGCACTGACCATGCTCTCTATGGATAATTTTTGTTAAAACATCCCTGACATTAACCAGAGTCATGAAGAAATTTGCTTCTCAGTTACAGAAGAGCAAAATTTACGAACAAAAAATTAAACACTACATGACTGTTTTATTATTTTGATTTGTTTAATAAATACACTGGTGTGAAACAACTTAGTACAAGTTTGATTGCTTTTTGAGATATTTCTATTTTGGAGTTGTAGCACCCCCCCGGAGAAAAATCCACCAGCCGCCACTGGTGGGGACCAATGCCCAGTCCCCATGGGTACAGATGCTGATTTCGGGTGGGGGGTTCGGTTTAGGACTAAGGTGCGACTTGAGTTTAGTTTAGTTTTAGGGTCAGGTGAGGTTAATTTCAGGGTAAATGATCAAGGTTACAGAAAAAGAATGGAAGTCAATCCACGGTCCCCATGGGGATATAAAAACAAACCTGTGTGTTTGATATGTGTTTGTTTACGTTGTTGTGTTCACAAACAGATAGAAAGTGTCCCAATATTTGAATGTGAGGAAATTCATAGAACCACACACAGCGCTGTGGTCCAAAACACAGTGTTTATTCTGCTGTGGGCAGGAAATGGTTTCCTGTTTTAACCGTTTCTTTGAGACCTGACCCCGCCTACAGCCATGACATCACTAGGGGCACCCCATCCTATCCAGGGTCAAGCCTTGAATTTACCTCTTGCTCTGTGCAACCATTTGTGAGAGCCACCCAGACCAGTCAGTACATAAAATCATCCATTTAATCACACAATATTTATAAAAAATATATCATGTTTCACCTAAGAAAAACTACAGAATGTGTAGTGCTTTAAAAAAAACAATAAATTTCTTCAACACGATCAAGACACGTCAGTGGTTTTGTGGATCTGTCTGAAGAGACTGAAGTGTCTGAAAAAGACAGATTGCAGAGTGACATCTATTGGTCAGATATAATCRTAGCATCAATTTTTAAATTAATAAAACCGGCATAAAGGATTCAAAGCTTTTGATCTAAGCTTGGGTTAAACTTCAATATGACATTTCAACTCGAAGTACAAACCAGCCTTTACTTCACTTCTTTCATTGTAAAGAACTGAAACAGTTGAATCTTTAGTGAGTTTTGTGTATCTTCTGTCAGTTTGCTGCAACTCTCCTTGTTTTTCTTCACAGGGGCTCTGAGGTGGAAGGAGGGTCTACAGCAGAAAGCAGCYGAGGCCTTCCTACGGCAGCAAGAAGCTGCTCCAAACCTGAGAAAACTGGTCTATGGTTCAGGTAACCTGGCTTTATGCACACACGTAGTACAACAGTAGTAACCCAGGCATGGAAATGGAAGTTTACAGGCAGTTAGGACAGTAATGTTGACAATGTACCAGCTGACAACAGTTTCAGCTGGCCCCTGAATGTTTCTTGATTGTAGAAGAACAGTAAAAAAAAACTTTTCAGGTACTGTGTGTATTTCAGATACACTGTGTAACTGCGGTGTTGGAGGGATAAACATTACTTTGGACCTAGACAGGCCCACCACATCAGAAACCAGCTGGGGGCAGAACGTAGATCTCTGCAAAACCAGCAGAAGTTGGAACGATGCTTAAAAAAAGAATTTATATTTGTCAGAACATGTTTGAAAAAGAAGTGGAGACAATATGGAAGCCGTCAGTCTGTAAGCAGAGACACACTGCAGCAGTAAACAGTGTTTATCTGCTTTTTTCCAACGTGACACCTGCTTCAGAACCGGTTTTTGGGTCATAGAACAATGATTTAGTCAGACAGAACCAACAAGAATCAAGCAAAAAGTAAAGAATTAGATAAATTAAAAATGTTGAATGTAAATAAATTCTAATTATCATAAATTAATAATAATTTTACATCTAAAAATCATATTTTATTCTTTTAATCTATTTTCCTCATTCAGCAACCTATTA